AACAACCGGTTCTCTGAACTGCTTAGAATGTTAACAACCGGTTCTAGCGAATAGGTGCGAACTGGTAGAATCCCACCCCGGAGTGACTGTTTGTAATTATATGGGATAAATGCAAAGGGATATTTCACTGTTTGTCAATATAAAATTTGTTCAGCTTAATCTTTATGAAGTTTGTGGCTGTTTTCCTACTTTTTAAAACTGCAATCAGCTGAGATTGTTCTTTTAATATTTTCTTGTTTTTCTGCAGTTAAATCAAGAGAAATAGAGCTGCAAACTTCCTCAGTGACATTTGAGGATATAGGAGGCAATGATGAGATTTTGAAGGTTAGATTTAACTAATCTCTTTTTTAAAATTTTTAGCTGAAACACAATGGAGTATAAAAGGCCTTAACCTGAATCTAATTTAAAATACTGAATGCTGAATGTGCTATGTTGGAAACAATTACCGTTTGATTCTTTGTTAAATAAATTTAGTTGTCTTAACAAGCCTGTTTAATTGCATATTCCTGTTTTTACCAATTGGAAGGGGCATTGAAACATTTATTCCTCAATTGGGCATCTTTCTTGATGTTAATATTGCATTATACATCATTCATAAATGATATATTTCAAGCACATTTTTGTAGCCTTAAGAACTAGAAACCTGCTTAATTTCAAAGTGAAAGCTACAGTTTTCAACAAGTTGTAGGCAAGTTTTAGGATTACAATTTTGCTATCACACCAACTCTGGTGAAAGCACCCGTGTCCTTTTGCTGACATTCCTTTGCCAGACTTCATTCGTGTATCAACAATATGATTATTTGGAAAAAAAAGTAAAATAGGTTAACTTTGTTGAGTGAAACTCTTAAGTCCAATTTACAAAGCTCAATATGTATTATTGAGTTCATGAATAAGAGAAGATACTCAGTGTTTCTCATTCTGAATGTGCCTGCCTTCATCAATAAAGATAAATATACTTGTGGCAATTAAGAGCAGCATGCTGGCCTAGAGGCGGAGCTCTCGCCTCACAATCAGGAGATTGTGAATTCAATCCAAGGTAGCAGCAAAGAGAAAGTATCTGCTGCAAGCTCTGCATAAGCGTCAGAAAGGACTCCATTCAATCACCCTGTCTCCACCCTGATGCGAGGGTTTACAAGATTGCTAAAAGAAAGAAAAAGCATTTGTAGCAGTTAGCATCTATTCAGTAAAACTACAAGCATTCCTTCATTAACCTGATCCCTGTTCACGTTGCAGTCCTTATCTTTGAAATTGCTAGGGCTGAATTTCACATTCTCTCCAGGATCATTAGAGCTACAACTGTCTTACAACTTACCCTTATGCAAAACAGGGACAGAAGTTGAGATTAAAAGGACATTGACAATGACAGAGGAGGTCCAGTGTAATCAGATCCCTGTAACTATTTCCCTACATATCCTGATTTGGAATTAATTTGACTTCAATATTGCCATTTTTATTGTAGGAGATATGTAAGATGCTGATACATATCCGTCATCCTGAAGTCTACACTCATTTAGGAGCTGTTCCTCCTCGAGGATTTCTTTTGCACGGACCACCAGGGTGTGGGAAGACATTACTAGCACAAGCAATTGCCGGGGTGAGGTTGTTAGAGCAATTATTTTTCCTTTCTTTGTTGTAAACTGTGTTCATTATTTAAAATGTTAAACTTCAGACATGTTTGCCTTTTTAAAATGCTGCTTCTTCCAGGGACAAATTCTGTCTTCTTGCCTGCATGTCAGGCCCCCTAGAAAGTCACAAGGTTACAATCTGAGGGCTCTTCTCAGTGGTATCTTTTTGAACAAAGCAGTACCTGCAAGATAAATGTTTGCCTTTTTGATCATTACCTGCTGGAACAGAATGTGATCCCTTTTTTTCCACTATTCAATTTTCCTCTGTTTAGGGCCGAATCTTGCTAAGTGTTGTTACTTAAATCTGTTTGTTTTCGTCTTTTCTTTTTATTCTAGGAACTTGAATTACCAATACTCAAAGTTGCTGCAACTGAAATTGTATCTGGAGTGTCTGGTGATTCTGAACAGAAATTAAGGGAACTCTTTGATCAAGCTGTGGTAAGACCCTAAAAAAAGTATTTTATTATTTCATCTGTCTTCTGGCATCTGCGTTATGAGTATGGGCAAATATGAGTATGAGAAAAGAAATTACTAAGCAAATTACTAACTTTACATCATCACTGGCATAAAATTTCAACTCATTTTTATTCCTTCCCTGTTTCACTATTTTGTTCCTTGAGTAGTGAATCCTTCTTGAATAAGGATATCATTGCAGAAGTGTATTGTCATTATTTTTAAATTCAACATAAAACTGGGTTCAAAATGGCTGTCATCACCAATGGATGTAACTTGACGGTCACAGTTTTTGATTTCAGTTTTGAATATTTTTTTTAATTACTCTCAGATAGAGGTCGCTATTTCATTTCATTCAGCTTGCTGTTCTGTACACGAGTCAAATTATGCTTTTTTACCCCACATTGTATAATCCTCCCAGAAAACATTTATTGGATGAATGCAAAAATATAATAAATGGCTAGTGAATGGGGTCTGTCTACACATAGACTTTTCTGCACCTTGTGCTTCAGATGTGTGCTAAGCGACAACTCATATCCTCGGAGTTCTGTTGGCTGGAATGAGTTTCAGTCCAACTACTTGTGAGAGGCTGAAATATGGCATTTCCTTTTGTCACTTTTTTCTTTCTTTTCCTTTAACCAAAATGGCATTTTTGTTTTTCTGTGGATTTTTTTCTTTTTCCTTCTTTTTTTCTCTTTTGGTCAACAAAGGAGATCCAAGATCCATATTCCATTTGGGTGCAGGATAGTCAAAGCAATTAACCATTCAGTATTGTGTTCATTTAAGAAAACTATTTTTGATAACCATCTCTATATCACTTAATAAATATATAAAAAGTTCTTGTCTTTCTTTATAAGTAATTTTGTTTATTAGTGAAAAAAATAATTTATATTGTAGTTAGTTAACCAAAATGTAACCTATAGGTACTTTCCTATAAAAGATTTACTCTTGATCAGGCTAGCTAGGTGGCACAGTTGTTGCACTGTTGAGAATATCTTTTATAATATGTCATGTATACAAATGGCAATATACCTTGTAAAGTAATACAAAAAATACAGAAAAGTATTTTCCAAAGTGCAGAGACTCATATTTTAATTATGCTAGACTGCTAAATCATTGATAGGTGTCAAGCATTTCTGTCAAAAAGGTAATTGCTAACTATTATTTCAAATATTTCATCTTGTTTTCAAATTATATTATTCTCTGCTCATGTTAAAACTACTTACTGAATGATTTGATAAAAATTAAGTATAAAGAAGAATTTGGGGGAGCCCGGCATGAGCTAGGATAGGGTAAGAATAGAAGGAAGAAAGGAGCACAGTAAAATATTCTCTTTCATGTGCAGAATCTCATTTTCCACATATTTCAAATAGGTATAATATAGAAACATTATGCAGGTCTCTTTCTCCAGCTTGGGGAAATAATTGAGGTTTCATGTCCAATACATCCATGATGAAGCGAAAATCTTAGTTCAGTTTCTAAAAGTCAATGTCTCAATGAATGCATATTTTAAAATTATAAAATGAAATGAAAACCATTGCATGCTTCAATTTATATGATTTCGAGGCTTATACTGATGGAGTATTTGTATTATATTTCTAGACCAATGCACCATGCATCCTTTTCATAGATGAAATTGATGCTATCACACCAAAAAGAGAAATGGCCTCAAAGGACATGGAGCGGAGAATTGTAGCCCAGCTTCTGACTTGCATGGATGGTATGTATTTTAATTCTTTAAAGTAAATGGTTATTTTTTTGGGGGAAACTTCAGGCAGGTTTTATTTTATTTTGAAAATATGTATGCTCCCCCTTTAGATTAATCTGCTTTTAATTGACACTTCCATTTGAAAATTTTGCCAGAATGTCTGTGGAGATTCTCAGTCATCCAGGTCTTGGTTGTCCCAAAGGTGCTTTTTTTTCCCAAGAGGCAATTGGACTTTCTGGTTTTTCTTTGAAGACGCTTCGCTTCTCATCCAAGAAGCTTGTTCAGCTCTAACTTGACGAGTGTGAAACCTTTTTGGAACTGTTGAAAGGACTGTGTTGTAGATTGGAGATAGATGTTGTCGTATCCCCCCCCCCCCTCTGCTGAGAGAGGGGTATTCAATTTTGACATAAATAGCCTCTTTGACCCCTCTTTCAAACCAGCAGTCCTCTCTGTCCAAAATGTGGACTTTGCTGTCTTTGAAAGAGTGGCCTTTGTCTTTTAAATGCAAATGGACTGCTGAATCTAGTCCTGATAGATTTTTTTTCTCCCATGTTGTGTCATGCATTTATGAAGTGGTTGTTCTGTTTCCCCAATGTAACAGTTCCAAGAAAGCTCCACACCCATTTGCACCACTCAAGTGACACTGATGACACAGATAACGGTACAAAGGTTTGGGAGCACCAAAATATTAATTTATTACACTGGAAGCTTTAATGTAGTTTGTTTATCCAACATTCTTCACAGAAGCAAACATTTGTGCACTTATGCTATTTATCTGTACTCATTCTTGCATACAACTGTTTATGTATTACGAGGAAAATAATATTTTAAAAACCCGCTAAAAACAAATACAAACTAATATAAAGGATGGTGGAAAGAAGAAATCACAGAGAAAGCTAACAGTGCAAGAAAGAAGGGGGAAAAGAAAAGGGAAATAGAACAGAAAGAAAAAAGATACAAAGTAGCTTCCAATCTTCTTCACAGCATTCATTTTACTTTGGTCTATTTATGAATGTTTTCCCAAAATTTTATAACTTGTATCATTTAACAAATATTTAAATATTTATCATATTTTATAATATTGTTTACAGATGCAGAAACTCCATAGGAACTTAAATTAATGATTAATAGGATTGTATTGCATGTATGTAGACGCTGTACTTAAAAGAATGAATGCAAAACCTGATTGTGTATAAGAAAATATCAAACTAGTAATATTCTTATAAAAACTGAAAAGTACCGTAAAAACCAAGAGAAATAGAAGGAACTTAATGATTTCTTGTTGAGATAACTGTAATTCAGCTTTCTTATTGTAAGTAAATATACAAAACAGATTCAAGTATTTAGATAAAGACTTAAATTGGCAATATGGCCAGACTCATTATTGTAAAGTTGGTAAGAGTACAAAGAAAAGGGGAAAAAAGGCTATATTTCTTTCCTTCCCCCCTTGCGGGAAACACAAATTTCTCCTTTAACCATTGCTATGATTCTTGATTGAGATACAATTAAACTTATCCATCAACTGATTTCAATAATCAGTTGCTGGGAAGCTCATAAAATATTGTAGTTATGCTGATCTGTTGAGACTCCTGGCTTTTATGAAACTTCTTTTATCTGATACTTCCTTAGTGAAATTGGGATAGATTGATATCATAATTTGTCTAGAATTCTACTTCAGTGGAGATTTGATTGATTCATGGTTAAATATATGTGAAATTTCATAACTTCTACTAACATGAAGGAATTGCATAGTAATGGTGTTGGAATTAATTCCAGTTTTTCACCTCTTTGGAGGAATTTTAACACACGTTCAATCTTGACTGGAAGGTCAAGAGAGGAGCTTTCTGAAAATAATCATCCATAAATTCAGCCAGGTTTAGCTGATTAGGGGGTTTTTCAATACTAATAATATGTAATTGTTTTCTCCTCAATTGTGATACTAAGTAAGTAATTTGTTTATCCAAAATATTATGACCAGTTTGAGTTATGGTCTTGTGAACTTGTAATTGGTCTTCCTGTTTAGTTAGCTTTTCTTGAATTATCCTTAAAATGAGCCAGCTCTTGTTAGATCAGCTTTTTCAATCATCCAGGTCATGGTTGTCCCAAAAATGCTGTTTCAAAAGGCAGCTGGACTTTCTTGGGGTTTTTTTTCTCTTGAAAATATTTTGCTTCTCATTCAAGAAGCTTCTTCATTTTCTCAAGACTTGTACTTGAGTCAGGATTTCTTTTAACAAGTTAGTAAAAGAATCTTTCTCTGCCATTTTCTCTGCCTCAGCAGATAGCGACGCAGTTGAAATTAAGTTATTGTTGGCTGTTCGATCGCAGTTGAAATTAAGTTATTGTTGGCTGTTTGAGTCTAGCTGCCATGCCAGTGGATTGTTAAAAACAAGATAATATATTATAAAAAATTAATTACCCAATTATCAAAGTCTTTATCCAAGGAGTCTGATAATATTGGAATTTGTATTTCCTTTAATCAGAAGAGAAGTACGAGACATGCCTGTAAAGCGGAAAGTCTAAGTGCAAATGTACTGTAAATTTACCTCTTGCTCTATGGTTACAACATAACTCTTTTGTTCCTATAATTATCCTGTCTAATCATCAAAACCATAAATCAAAGGTTTATTTCTTCTTTGTTATTCAAACATAAGGCATTTCCAGTTAGCAATAAACATAGATACTGACTTTTCTGATCAAAGAAGTCAGTTTAGCTATCTCAGCAAATTCCATCATTACCAGCCTTCCTTCATTGTGGATAATGCTGAATCCGTTCATCTTTGTGCACACAACAATTTCATTGCAGTTATTGTACACAAAAATAAAGTTACATGTCTTTTTTCCTATTATTTATCCATCAATCCTAAAAGGAAAAAAAAACACCACTGGTCTCAATTGTATATTAATATTTAAAATCCTCTGAATCATATTTTCTCATTGTCGCATCTGTATTATGATGAAAATTTTAGACCGTTTTATAATACATTCTCTTACTTTTTCTTTATTTCTTCTGTTTCAAGTTTCAATAAAAGCTTTTTTGCAATTATATATTCATAATTTGTACACAATTCTGTTTCAGACTCAACCTTACAATGTTCCAAACCATAAAATATTTTGTCACATTAAAATTTTCTAATAACTAAATAAGAAAACCATTGACAATTATATCCCTCTGCCACCCGGTCTCCTTTGATTTATATTTTATATTCTCCTTGACATAATTCTTTCACAATAAGTTAGCCATTTATGTTTGCCTATTATTTATCATCTATAAAATGTTTGTTCTGCTGATAGGCACAAAAGTATTTTCAGGCACAACCTGGCTTTGTATCTGTTCCATATTCTCAATATAGCACATCAAACAATTATTTTTAAAATCCACATTAACCTTAACTTATGTCATGCCACAAATATCCATGCCACCCATCTTTCAAGTTGTGTCCTTCTAATCCCAAGAGCTTTTTACTTCTTAGCAGCAGTCACTCTTTCATTCAAGCTAAACAGCTGCAAAATACCATTTCAAATCAGTATATCTTGCCTTCTTATTTCCTTCTATTGTGTCTGTGTCCTCCCTCTCACAGTGCCTGGAGGCTGTTAGGGACTGGCTGGGGAGCACAGTGGAAACTAAACCCTGGCAAGACCAAATGGCTCTGGGTTTGGGGTTATTTGACCCAGGGAGAATTGCCACCTTTGGTCTTGGATGGGGTGGCACTACCCCAAACAGACCCTGTATGTAATCTGGAGGTTCTCTTGGATCCTGGACTTGAGACTCATGCTTGAAGAGCAGGTGGCAGTCGTGGCCAGGAGGGTCTTTGCGCAACTGCGGGTTGTGCACCAGTTATTCCCTTTCCTGGACCAACAATCCCTACTCATGGTCACTCATGCTCTAGTCACTTCCCATTTTGACTATTGCAATGCGCTCTACATGGGGCTGCCTTTGAAAAACATCTGGAAGCTCCAGTTGGTGCAAAAAGCAGCGGTCCACATGGTTTTGTACAGACCTCAGTGTACAAATGTATGACCTCTCCAGCAGGAGGCATTGGTTGTCAATTTGCTTCCAGGTACAATTCAAGGTGTTGGTTGTCATCTTTAATGCCCTTCATGACTTGTGACCACGTTATCTGAGAGACGGTCTCTTGCTGGTCATATCTACCCGACCCACCAGAGGGGTCAGGCAAGGAATGTTGCGGGTTCCATCCCCTAGGGAGATATACCTGGTGGGACCCAGAAGAAAGGCCTTCTCCATGGTGGCTCCCTCTCTCTGGAACATCATTTTCCCAGAGATTAGAATGGCCCCCACTCTAACACTCTTCCAGAAAGTGCTGAAGACCAGGTTCTGCCAGCAGGCCTGGGGAACCCAGAGCACGATGGAGCCCATTAAATGGTTCGTGTGATGTATTGTCGCCAGGGTGAGGATTGGGGGGGGGTGTTATTTTATTAATTATATGATTCTGCTGAGGCTGCTGGTGGCACTTTCGTTGAAGTTGGACCAAAGACCATGATTGTACGTGGCTTTGATCCATGCTTATCCTGCTGGAGGGTCCCAACAGGACCGGATCCATCTCGGACCCAGGTCGGAGGGGTGAGGGAAGAGCGTTGAGGGGAGCTGCATCTCCCCTCCCTGGCTAGGTATACTCCCCTTGAAGACAGGAGGTAGCGGCAGTCTTAATGGCTGCCCTGAAGACGGGAAGCTTCCGGGACTTAAGTGTGTGCTGGAGTGGTGAAGCGGTGAGCGGCATGTAACCAGGCAAAGGATTTTGGATTTTTTTTCAACAACCCCGAGAAACAGAAGGAAAGAGCCCTTGATATGAATTTAGATAAGAAAGTTGGAAATGTAATTATGATTATGTATGAACGTTGTAAACTGGAACCACGTTGCTCACTTGAAGAGATGTGTAAAAAATAAAAAAAATAAAGATCTGGTTCTGCCAGCAGGCCTGGGGAACCCAGAGTGGGATGGAGGCGATTAAATGGCTCGTGTGATGTATTGTCACCAGGGTGAGGAGTTTGGGGGGGGGGGGGTATTTCATTATTTTATTAATCAATTATATGATTCCCTCTTTTATTAGTTTTATTGTTTTTATATGAGGTTTTATATTCTTGTAAGCTGCCTTGATTCGCCATGTGTAAAAAGGCGGCCATATAAATTTCCAAATAAATAAATTTGCACTGTCCATTGAAATCAAGGTCCCTGAGGCCAAGGTCCCATATGCAGGCACGCTGTGATAGATTGAATCCTGCAAATATCTCTCTGTATTTTACATTTTGTCCAAAACTATGTTCATTTATTTTTACACATTGGAGAGCAATAGTACATGCACTATTCAGAATTAACATCCATATTAAAATGTCTATCCTCCTGGATGTGCCATGTGAATAGTTTTACTATTACTATAGTTTTGATAGCACAACACCAGCTCTTTCATTAATAGCTGTTTGCTTCTTTGCTTCCTCTTTCAGATTTGAATACGTTGACCACTGCACCTCAGGTCCTTGTAATTGGAGCAACCAACAGGCCCGATGCACTGGACCCAGCCCTGAGACGGGCGGGAAGATTTGACCGAGAAATTTGTTTGGGGATTCCAGATGAAGCAGCAAGAGAAAAGTCTGTCAGCCTTCTTTTTATTTAATACAGTCGTTTGAAGTCCTAGGATTCTCTTGGATAGATTTTTAACAAGGGAAGATTAGAGGTCTTAACTATTGCTTGAGTAGTAAATATTGTTGCAGTATTAAAAGCTCATGGAAACTAGCTGCCGGTTATATAGATTTGAAAGTCATAACTGGCGTTTGCATAGCCAGCAGCAAAATCTTCAATAAATTGACAGACAGAGCAGAAATAGAAAATGAAAGATTTCATTTACATTAGGTAGGCCTATGTGAGTCCCTTTATCTGTCTTAAGAGTATTTCTTTTATATTCCAAAAAGTGAAAAGATTTTGAACTTGGTTAGCCCTCTCCTTCCCAGAATGTGTTCTTTTGTCATCCAGTAGTTGCAATAATGTATGGGGGGAAAAGCTTTCTATTGCCTGTTTGGGATATGAAGTTTCCAGATTTGTCACCTTAAAAAATAGGTAGCACATTTCTTCTTGAGCATAGTTGATATGAGCATTTGATTACCAATAGGTTTTTTCACAAGAGGAAGGCATTCAATTCTGATTATCAGTTAGTCAGAATTTGTTAAAGAATAAATAAAAGAGACTGCATGATAAAGCATCGTTATCTAAGCAAGTAATGAAAATAAATTTGAAGGAAATGAAGTTTTATGTATTGGTTGTCATATACAGATAGTCCTTGACTTACAACCATTCGTTTGAAGTTACCAGAGCACTGGAAAAAGGGGCTTTGGAGCAGTTTTCACACCGGTTTTGGTCATGTGATCAAAATTCAGGCGCTTGGCAACTGCCATGTATTTATATCAGTTACAATCTCTCAGGGTCATGTGATCATCAATTGTAGCCTTCCCCAATGGCTTCCAACAAGCAAAAGTCAGATTCGCTTAACAGCTATGGCAAAAAAATGGTCATAAAATGGGGCAAAGCTCACTTAACCACTGCCTTGCTTAGCAATGGAAATTTTGGGCTCAATTCTGGTCATACATTAAGGACTACCAGTAATCCCAATTGTTTCAGCATAGATGTTTAAATGCTTCTCGTGTTTTGTAAATATGGTCTCAGCATAGAAATAGGAATATTTCTAATATTTTGAACACTCCATATCTTAATCTTTTCACTGATTATGATGTTTGTGGGTGGGTGGGTGGGCTAAACAGAAATGATTTCATCAAGTTCTATCTTTTTGAAGGTGATAAAAATAAATTATTAAACACTATTGAATACATTTAAATAATTAAATAATTTGGGATTTGGGGATGTTAAGTTCAGCTGCAAAAATCATCTTTATTTTCTTTTCACCAGAATCCTGAAGACATTGTGTCGAAAGCTTCGAATTCAAGAATCTTTTGATTTTAGACATTTGGCTCATTTGACTCCAGGCTACGTTGGTGCTGATCTTCTGGCCCTTTGCCGTGAGGCAGCAATGTGCACAGTGAACAGAGTTCTTGTTAAACTAAATGGGAAGAAATGGGAAGTCACGAAAAATGAAGAAGTAACACCTGGACAAGACATGCAAAGGACACCAGAAGAAAATGTGAAAAAAGATGCCGAAGAACCAGATCTTCTCACTAATGTATATATTTCATATGTAGCTTATTGTATCCATTTGTTCCATGTCTGGGTATATAAAAGGGGTTTTTTCCTGGAAGAAAATCATATATATTAACTGCAGATACATTAAAAAAGGAAAATAACAGTGAATAATTAAATATAGCATTTGAACCAGTTTAAAGTAGTAGTTAAGGTAACAGGCCAGAAAATGGGAAAATTGGGTGCAAAACCACCTGGGTGACCTTGAGCCAGTCACTCTCTCTCAGCCCTAGGAAGGAGACAATGGCAAACTATTTCCAAAATCTTGCCAAGAAGACTTCAGGGACTAGTCCAGGTAGTTGCCAGGACTCAGCCACTAACTTGAAAGCATCTGTCTGTCTGTCTATAATTCTAGTCTGAAGAATATAGGACAGAAGCCATGAAATAGGAATATGATCCTTTTAATAATCTCTGGCTTTCAATACTATTGATCATGTTATGGAGGGATGGCCAACTATGGTAACATTATGACTTCAACTCCCAGAATTTCTGAGCCAGCATGGAAATCCACATATAAGGTTGCCGTAGTTGCTCACCCTTGATTTATGACTGCCTCCTCCTGACTTAAGGATGGGTAGCAATGAATGCAACGGTTCTCTCTGAAAAGTTACTCCCAGTCATTGGCAACAATGGTGGAGAGTGTGTGCTGTAGACTCCTAAGTTATAGAATACCACAAGGCTTGATGTTATCCCCACTCTTGGTGAATAAGTTCTATGAAAATTATCTGTCAGCAAAAGATGAGAATCATCATCAGCATAATGGGCGAACAGACGGCAATATAAATTCAATCAATCAATCATTAATGGTGATAGAGAAAGTTCTACCTCAATGTCAGGCCAAGCAAGTAATGCCATCAAGGGCCTGGATTCAGTTGGTGTAGATGACAAAGAACTAGCTAAAGCATAATCCTAGTAAAAGAGAATCATTCTAGACAGATAAAACCATACGATTCCAGAGAGATTCTATATTTAGTTCAGGATGGGGTCACAGTCCCTGTGCTGAGTGATCTTGAAGCTTTCAGAGTCCTCTTGGACTCACAGCTACTGCTCAAGGTACAGTTAACAAAGGCCACTTCACCTAGTGCACTAGTTGTGACCAATACTGGTATGAAAGAAGTTTAAAT